GTAAAATTTGGGCATATAACAAAGTTTTGATTTTAAGAATTACTACTAAGTGATATATATATATATATATATATATATATATATATATATATATATATATATATATATAGTTGTATATATTTTTTAAGTTTATACGTGACAAAAAATTTTTAGGACAAAAAGGTATAATTTTTAGTGATAGGGGGTAAAGTTTAAAGTGAGGTACAATAAAGGAAATGGTAAACTTGTCTAATTATAAAAAAAAAATGTTATGGATGATAAAATTTTGTTGTGTACAAATCAGTTCTCATTGACTAATGACGTATCTAAGCTAGTAATCAAAAGCCTATCCGGATCCAGAAAAAACAGTTACGAAAACAAGAATTAGATAAATGTCGGATTAGGGTAGATTTTATAAAAAGTGATGTTTTTGGATTTTTGGATTTTTTTTATGTGTGGAAATTTGAATGGATGGTGAATTTGTATTTCAAATGGATTTTGATTTTGATGGATTTAAATGCCATCTTAACGTCCATTATTTTAGCAGTTATGTTGTTTTGCAAAGGATATTGAATTTATGTATACTAATGATAAATGCAATTTTCGAAATTCAAATTTTAAATCATCCTCAATGTCGATCATATCAACCTCAATATACCTGACTACTATTACTACTAACTAGTGATGCAACATGTGTATACTAATTTTGACTATCTCAAGATAATTTTGGTTTTAATATGTCCCTTGGTTCTAATATTCCACTCTTATAACATCACAATTTCATGATGTTTAAAAGCAAGAATCTGAAGAATCAAGAAACGAACCCAAACCCACCTCCAACACCTTATGAAATTATAAAAAAACATCAAAATAAAAAATGGTCCGAAAATGAAGAAGTGACGTTGACGAAGGCTTATGTCGACATTTCGAAAGACATGGAAAGTGGAAATCAACAAAGAGCATATTCTTTTTAGAAGCAAGATCTTGGACACTTTAGCAATGGTGTTCATATCGATCAAAACATCAAGTGGGTTCCAAATAGAAGGAATTGCAAGAGAAAGTTAACAAATTCAGTTGCATCTTCACCTAAAAGATGAATAGTTGTGTGAGCTGAAGATCCGTGGTCGATATTTTAAAGTTGACACAAAATGAATATTGCAAACGTTATAAAATGAAAGCTTTTCCATACGAGGCGGCATAGGATATTTTTAAATTCCACGAATAATTGTTACATGTCAAGAAATATGGTGAGAGTCCTCGGTCTCCATCCAAAAGGACCAAAAAAATGACTTCAATAGTTACACAACCTCTCTGGATGCATAATTTCCATCTGATTTCAACGTCGAGTCTAAAACGATTCATGCTGACGCACTGCCAAGAAGGCGACGAAAAAGGAAGACAGTGACATCAGCATCATCACAACCTCTCGAACTAACAGAGCTCTTCACCGAATATCGTTGGCCTTACCCATCAAAACAAAGAAGAGGTGAATGAGAGAAAGTGATACATAGTTGATCAATTGCGGCTCATGGAAGCTACCAAGGAAATGAGTATGACACTCATAATTGATAAGATATGAGCGATCAAGATAAAATCAGAGGAAAAAAATATGTGACTCTTTTCTTTCATCAGAGGAAAAAAGTAGGGATGTTGAATTTGGTGCTCACCAAATTCAACGCTTTATGATCGGGGGCGTAGAATTTCATTTTAGGCTTTTAATTATCGTTTTAGGATTTTTATTATTGTCTTAGAATTTAAATTGTCATTTTATGAATTATTTAACATTTGTAGTACTTTACCATTTTTTAATGAAATGTTTTTAGTTTTTTTTTTTTTTTTTTTAATTTTAAATCGGTGAATGTTTATTTTTTAACAAAATAACTAATTGTATGGGTTGGAGTGATGAGAATGATGAATTTTCATTACCTGCGATTTTGAAGTTTTTTATATTCTCCTGATAAAAACTTGTCGGTTTGATTATGATTTTGTAAATTTTGACTACGATTTCCTTAACATCTTGTTTTCGGGCTTATACAACTAGAAATAAAGGACTAAATTAATATGTTTTTATGCATGACTTATGTATTAAGTGTAGCTTATAGAGCTATTATGGATTACGTAATTATGTGGATTGTGTGGGGTATGTTCTAGGGAACTCACTGAACATTAGCTTACAACTTGTTGTTTGTTTCAGGTACTTCAAAGTCTAAGGGAAAGGATCCGACTTGATGGCGCGACGTGCATTCTCTTCGACGATTTTATTTTGGGACACTATTATATATGTAAAATATTTGATGTTATGGATTTTGAAAACAGTTGTTATTGAGATTTCATATTTATGAGAATGTTTTAGTTATCTAAAAATGAAAAGGTTATTTGGAAAATTTGGGATGTTACATCATACATCAAGAAAACGAAAGTTATCAAGATTTAACACTCATATTTTATATAACAAATTGAGAAATAATCAAATTATAAGGTTTTAATATTATTGTTAGTAATATTAAATAACAATATTTTTGTTAGTTATTAAACCTTACAAAGTTCTCTTGTTACACTATACTTTTATAAAAATGCAAGACTTTTATAAAAAGGGCTAAATTTTTTTATAAAAACCATAAGAGACAAAATGTGTCACCCCTCTCCCAACATTTCCCTCTCCACCCAATACACTAATTTTGCCTTCTAAACTTACTAATTTTTTTTTTCATTCCATCTCCTAACTCCAATGTTTCACTTTTTCATTATTGCATCCATAACTCCTACTTTCCAACCTTTAAAATATTTCAAGCAGACATGACACAACATATTTACAAGGTCTATATCTTAACCTGAAACCTGAAACCCGAAACGAAAAACCAATACGAAATTAAACGGGTTGACACAACACGATACGATAATTAAACGGTTCGGGTTAGGGTCAAGCCCTTTCAACCCTGTTTAATGTCTTAACACGATACGACATGTTTGTCAGGTCTAATTCTAGGATGGTGGGCTAAAACCTAACTTAGAAAAAGTTGCTAGGAACATATAATTAAGCATATATACTTATGATGGATGTAAATGAAATTTGTAGTGAGAAAAGAGTTAAAGGCGAGATTCATTGGTCGTGGTGAGCCCTCATAGCAAGACCTATTTGTTGTGGCGAGCCATCGTGGCAAAACATATTATGAATTGTTGGTTTAATTAATATGTCTGATTTGTGGATATTACGTATTCTCATTGTCAAGGTTACTCATTAAGCTTTTGTAGCTTGCCTATTGTTTGTTGATGTGTCGTAACAAAGAGATAAATGCTATTAAGTAGCTTGTATAGTTTTGCGTTTTGCTATAAAAGAATTGTAATATCCGTTTTGATCGTTGGATGTTTGTTTGTATACAAGATTTTATGATAACTTCTTGTATGTTACATATTAATATAGATGTACACAATAGTTTGTAAAAAATGGGTGTATTTAATGTTAATTTGTCAGAGTGTTACATACGGAAAGGAAAAGGATTTCGCTTCTGTAAATGGAGAAGATAAAGAGTCGGTAGAGAAGATAAAAGGTATGGGGCGAGAGGGTAGACACACAAGCTGTTTGTGTGAAAAGCCACGTAAGCCATGTACAATAGTTAGTTGTCAATGAGGTAACCATATAACGTGGTAATCAAGTAGAGTGTGCAAAACCTGTTAAATGATTTTAATAGCAAACATCTTACAAACTTCTAGTTATAACGTAACAAAAAAGGGTTAATGACATAAAAAGGTAACAAACTTTGATCTTTGTTTATATTTAGGTAACTATGTTTTTTTCGTTCACATTTGACCATTAAATTTGTTTTACATGTTCAAAATAGGGTAACATGACTTGTAATTACGCTAATATTACCCTATTATGAACATGCCACACAAATTTATTGATCAAATGTGTACGAAAAAAATATAGTTACCTAAATATGGACAAAAACCAAAGTTCCTTACCCATTTTGGTAATATTGGAAAATAAACGTTTCAGGGAATGTGCCCTGGGATCAGGCTCCGACAGTCAATGAACAATTAGGTTAGGCTTAGTCTAACCCAGTTCAATCTCGACTAGTCATGAGCTAAGTTGTGTTGCTAGGTCTTTAAATCACATACAACCTAACCCCTTAAGCGTATACAACCTAACCCATAAATAGTTGGGACTAAATTGGGTTGGCCCAAGACTTACCATTTCCTCAAACATAAAGATCGGACAACCCAATTTCATATCACATCAATGGATCTTATAACTACATGCAATTAACATAAATAACATAATATTATCAAAATGGATAAGGAACTTTGGTTTTTGTCCATATTTAGGTAACCATGTTTTTTTCGTACACATTTGACTAGTATACTTATTTGACCTGCTCATAATAAGGTAATGTTACCGCTAGTTCAATGATTAAATATATACGAAAAAAACATGATTACCTTAATGTGAACAAAGACCAAAATTCAATACCTTTATAATTCATTAACCCAACAAAAAAAAAATTGTTAAAGGTAAAATCATTTTTTTTTAGAAAATCTTTAGGGTTTTTATTTCTTCAAAAAAAATTGTTAAAGGTAAAATCATTTTTTTAGAAAATCTTTAGGGTTTTTATTTCTTCTACACTTGTCCTAATTTGTTGCATTAGAAAACTAGAACATCCCAAACAAGCGAACTAGCCAGATACCGGGCCATCGTCTGCCCTAATTCCGTAATAAACCCTAGGTCATTGGGTTTTACCAGCCGTGAAGGCAAGAATTACGAGAAGAAAAGATAAAGAAAATTATCTATTTCAGGTATATCTCGCATTCGATTCCCAATTTTTGTTCGCCCATCTATTCTACCACCCAATTTCTTTAGACATGGTCTTCAAGTGACCACGTTCTCGCATCAAATCATGCCACCGTTACCATTTGCTTGAAAAATCGGTACCTGAATCGATTTTCATCAATGCAACTGCTGATAATTTCTCAATATCAGCAGCAGCCAGCTCATGAATGAATTCTCAATCTTCCATCACGAAATGGTAAAACCCTTTAAACCCAAATCTCTATTTGATCTCCGAAAGCACTGCCCCTTGCTGGGTTCTCACACATTTCTCAAATTTTCATCCCTACCCAACATTTCTGCCGAGAATAACAAGTTTGCGTACCCTAATTTAGTCAATAACGTTTCCAAAATCCTGTGTGATCCTCGTTGGTATGAAAACAAAGAACTCAAGCATGTTAGTCATAAACTCCAGCATATCCATGTTGCCAGAATTGTAAGTTCCCATAAAGACATAGATGTAGTTATCCGATTCTTCTATTGGATCTCAAAGAACTATTCTTATAAACATGATTTGAGTTCCTACAAGGCGATGTTAACCAGGTTAGTTCGTGAAGGCCGATTAGCAGATACAGATCATATTAGGGTTCTAATGGTGAAAGAGTGTAGAACACAAGAAGAGCTTATGGGGGTTGTTGATTACTTGAATGAACTTAGAAGTAAAGGTCTTGCTTATAGTTTATATAGCTCTAACACATTATTGATTCAGATGGGAAAGTTCCAAATGGTCGATGCTGCTAGGGATCTCTTTACACAGATGATGAGTTCTGGGATTAAACCTAATTTGTTGACATTCAACACCATGATTAACATGTTGTGTAAAAAGGGTAAAGTTCAAGAGGCAGAATCTTTCTTAGATCAGATGAGTCAGTATGATTTGTATCCAGATGTATTCACCTTCAGTTCTATGATTCTTGGTTATTGTAGGAATAGAGATTTAGAAACTGCTTTTAGGGTATTTGATCGTATGATAAAAGAAGATTGTGAACCAAATTCAGCAACATATACAAATCTTATAAACGGGTTATGCAAAGAGGGAAGAATCGATGAGGCATTGGACATGCTTAAAGAAATGATGGACAAAAACATCGAACCCACTGTTTATACATTCACTGTTCCAATTTCCTCACTATGTGCATTTGGTCAAGTAAAAAAGGCCATTGATCTTGTAGTTATGATGACGAAAACAAATTGTGTTCTAAATGTGCAAAACTACACAGCTCTTATCAGTGGCTTGTTTCGTATAGGACAAGCTGAGGTGGCACTTGGATTCTACCATAAGATGTTGAGAGAGGGTTTGATTCCAAATGTGGTTACTTATAATGCTTTGATATATGAGTTAGGTCAAATAAGAAGGTTTGATGGTTTGTTTATGATCTTTGATTGGATGGAGAGAAATGGTATGCCAAATACCGAAACATACAATCAAATGATTACCATTTTGTGTTTGATGAAGAATTTCCAAAAGGGTATGGTTCTTTTGAGTAAAATGACCAAAGTAGGCCCTTTTCCAACTGTTGTTTCATATAACACACTAATTATCGGATTCTTGAAACAGAATAATTTAAAGAATGCAATGAGGTTATTGAGTTTGATGAAAGCAAACGGGTGTAAACCAGATGAGTGGACTTATGGTGAACTTATTTCAGGGTTTTGTGAAACAGGGGATCTTGATGGAGGTTTGAATCTTTTTCATGAAATGGTAAATCAAAAATTGACACCCAATAAAGTCCATTATACCACTTTAATAAACGGTTATTGCAAAAAGGGGGAAGTAGAATCTGCAATTGTGTTATTGGAAAAGATGGAAGCAGATAATTGTAGGGCTGAGGTTGAAACCTACAATGCAATCATATCTTGTTTGTCAAAAAGGAATCGATTACATGAAGCTGAAAGATTATGTGAGAAAATGGTGGAAAAAGATGTGATTCCAAATGTGATTACCTACACAACTTTAATCGATGGGTTGTGTAGAAATGGTAGTGTTCATCTTGCTTTCAAGATTTTCCAAGAAATGGAAAAGAAAAACTGCACACCAAATTTGTTGACTTATAGTTCATTGATCTATGGCTTATGTTTGGAAGGAAAAGCAAATGAAGCAGAAATATTACTTGAAGAAATGGAGAAGAAAGGAATCACTCCTGATTACGTGACATATACTTCATTGATCAATGGATATGTGTCACTAAATCAAATAAGTCATTCATTTTCAGTTTATAAAAAGATGATTGATAAAGCATGCAAACCGAATTACAGAACTTTTCAAGTCTTGTTAAAAGGGTTAGAAGCAGAAAGTCGGTTGCTTTTTGAAAAAAACACGGGCCCACATGAAAAAGATCCAACCTTTACTAATCTTTTAGTTAAAATGTCTGAATACGGATGTGGGCCCACAGTTGACACCTATAGCACCATGATTATTGGTTTGTGTAAAGAAGGAAAGAGTAAAGAAGCAGTTGAGTTGTTCAAGAACATGGAAGAAAATTCCATGAATCCTGATCGAAATATTTACCTCTCTCTCATAAACACACTCTGTAAAAACTCAAAAGTGGAAACTGCTTTAGAGTTTTTTGATTTGATTAAGGTAAAAGGGTTTGAACCTGATATCAAAACGTATAAAGTTCTTATTTCTGCTTTATGTAAAGAAAGACAAGTGAGTAAAGCTCGTGTGTTATTTGAAGACATGCTTGATAGACAATGGGACACTGATGAGATTGTGTGGACTGTTTTGATTGATGGGGTTTTTAAGGATGCTGACGTGGACACTTGCTTATGTTTTATCCATATAATGGAATTAAAAAACAGAGTTCCTAATTTTCAGACGTATGTAATGTTGGCAAAAGAATTGTCAGCAGTTGATGGGAGTTGTGATATTCATGAGGTTGTTGAAAGATTGAAACTTTATAGAGGGAAGACAATTAGTTGAAGTTTTTTCTACATGAAAAATGACATCTTTGCCCTCTGTAGATAAATATGAGGTGCAAACAAGCCATGGAAATAGGTATAAAATTGGTTAATTACAGTGTCTTGGTTTTATGATTTTTAAAAGTGCATTGACTAATTATGTGGTCAATTTTTTACAGAAATCCTGCACCAAATTTGTAGCATCTGATTTTTTTTTGGAAAGATGTGGTAGCGTGGGGCCTACGGATAAAACATGATCATTAGAAGGTAGTAAATACTGAAGTTATTGATTTTCTTGATTCTGATTGATTTGTGAATATTACATCTTTTGCCAATCTCATCAGCTTTATTTGATCTTTTTTTTTGCAGGATTCAAGTATTTTGCTTCTAGAAGGCAAGAGAAAACTTGGTGTCAAATCAAAATAAAAAGCATGATCATGTTTTATTTTTGCATCAAAATGAGCTTTTCTTGCTATTTATGACACATGAAGCAAGTTTCTCAGATTTCTGGTTTAGTAAATCCATTTAGCAATGATTCCAACAAGTTCTTAAATACATTTAGAAGCCACATTAGATGTTATTCAACGAGAATTTATCATCTTTATACATAGATTTGTTAGCCATGATGCTCAATCATGCTTTGTAAAGATTTGAGTAATAGCTTACACCCATGATTTTGATCTTCTGCTGTTGATGCATCAAATGTTATAAAGTTCTTTTTTTGACTTATAAGGTCAAAACATTTTTATTTTTGAGAAGATACAAATACAGTTTTTGAATAAGTTGTATTACTATTGAAGTAAAAAAAAATATATTTGTACATTTGACCTCATGAAAAGTATATATAAAAGTTGTGATGTCATAATACATGTTTGTAAAGGTTTAATCTCCTTGTGAGGAGCTATAAAAGTCCAATTTTGGATTTTGGTTGATTTGATTTTTTTTATGTATTTAGTATTTTCACTATATCTAATGTAACGAACTAAATATTTTGTATAATATAATTTGAAAGTGTATTATCTTATATGATTAGTTGATATGTATAAAATAAAGTTTTATGATGTAAGTATGTGTTATAGTATTATGTATTTAGTCTAAACACATAAAAGGTGAACTCAAGAAGTGAAATGGTAGTATTTTTGAGAAAATAATATGTATATCCTTACATCTGCCGCGTTAAAACAGAAAATATATAATGAATTAGTGTAAATGGTCTAAAGATAGCTTGTAGTTCACTTTGAGACGGTCGCGTGGATATAAAGTTTGCTAAAATCCGAGCTAGTATGAGAGAGTTATGGTAGTTCGAAGTTGACCAGAAAATTCAGGAAAATTAGTATTGCCGACAGCCAGATCACCCTCCCTTGTGGTGCGTGAGAGGGGCCCACATGTCGGGGTTGATGCCAAACGATGCAGAATGACATGTTCCTTCCAAATCGCAGGTGGGAACCGCTATAATGGTCAAATTATTGATCTAGAGATGGCCGAACATGTGTATATGCATAATTATTGTCTTCAATCATATAAATGACATAGTCGTGCGTGATCTTAGTAAGAAATATCAAGATTCAACTCTTCATCACACTTATACATATTAAGACACTCATATATATATATATATATATATATATATATATATATATATATATATATATATATATATATATATATATATATAAAATACACTTATAAAATACAGAGGTCAATCGGTATGTAGATAATGGAGTTTCTTCATAAACAATTGTATTGTAAGTAACACGTGATTATTTTGTAGTAAGTAATTTATCAATATTATTTATTGTATAGTTACAATCTAAGATATTGAAGGATTGTATATTCTAATGATTCGGTGTTAAAACTATTATATTATTGTTACTTGGTTTGGCCAAAGCATCCAAATCTAATTGCTATAATGGCAAAACATTTGTACCGTATGGAATCTTGGAAAGTTACCAAGATACAAATGACACATAAATATGGTGTCGTTAGGATAAATGAAGGAGATAAAATTTTTACTTGCATATAAAAATTAATATGGTTATTTTACCGATATTTATTAGGAAAATAACTAACAAGAAAGTGTAGCTCAATAAGGAGAATGTAGGTAGTCAACCTAACTACCAAGGTGAGTTATAAATTTGTTTATGAATACATGACTATGTGTTTGAAGAAAGTGGTAATATGTTGATATTTGAATATATTGTGCAAATATTAAATGTAAACAAATATGTTAATAATATGCAACCCAAATGTAGTCCTCGGGTAAAAAGCCGTTTTATGTGATCTAGCTCGAGTGGAGGACTATACCCGGCTCAAGTGGAGCACTATATGTCACTGTGGTGATCAGTCTAAGTGGGATATAAATAAAAAAATTTATTAATTAAATGGTTACAAAAGTTAAATTTGTTTATTTTATAAATCACCAAACATCTTTGTCTATATATTTGTCTAATATATGTTTTTGCCATGTATTCCAAGTTCAGGTAGAAGCTAGTGTTTGGAAAAAAAAAAGGCATGGATTGGAAATAGTTTTGGTATTGTATAATTATGTTTGTTGTAATTATAGTTATGATATGTTTGTGCACCCGTTAAGTATTTATAGGTTTGTGCACCCGTTAAGTATTTATAGGTTTAAAAATCTGGTTGCAAATAAAAAAATAATAATAAAAAAAAACAACTCTGATAAAACTTCCAAAATAAAAATGTAAAATGTGTTTGAAAAGTTATGGGTGTTATAAGTTGACATTAGAGTCATAGTTTAAGCGAATTAAGTTGGTATGTCCCAACCTAGGCTTAAATTTTGTGAGACACACAAAAGAACCAGAGTGTGTTTTAGGATCATTACTAACAGTATTTATGTGATGGTTTAATTGTTAAAATACCACAATTAAATATTTTTATGATATTTTAGATTATCATTTTAATAGTAAGGCAGTACCGAATATTTAATGGGACATATTGCAGCTAATGGTGCATACCAGAAGTGGTCAGGAGCAACCTCGTGAAGGTGAGGGGACTTCTAGGAAAGAAAAAGGGTCACAACCAGTTATAATGGAGGCTATTAAATTACTTTTAGAAGAAATGAAAAAGGAGAATCGTGAAGAAATGAATCGGATGCTAAACGCATGGTTGGGAGTGTCGATTCAACAACCTTAAAAAATCCATGTGGTTGCACCATCTATTGTTGGTGTTCAATCTATTGTCGGTACTCATCCTGCTGTTGGAGCACCGTATGTTGTTGGTTCACTGTCTATAGCTGGAGTACAGTCTGTCGTTGGAGCATCTCAAACACAAGCATCTTCTCATGTTGCTTTTCCAAAATCAGATACAAAGAAAGGATGTTCTTTTAAAAGCTTTATGGGATGTAGACCAAGTAGGTATGAAGGAAACCATGATCTGAAAGTGACTGTGAAATGGATCAATAAAACTGATCGAGTTTTTAGAGCTAGTGGTGTCGAGATGATCAGAAAGTTGTTTTTGCATCTCAACTACTGGGAGGTCAAGCTCTTATTTGATGGTAAAGGGTATTCCAGATATTGGGAGAAGATGCAAAAAAGACAATGAATTGGGATGAGTTTGTCAATTGTATCAAGACAAAATATTGTGCTCCCCGGGATGTTGAAAATTTGGTTGATGAATTCTTTGATTTAAGGAAAGGAGACTTAACAGTGGAAGAGTATGCAAAGGAATTCTCAGATATGCTGTTATTTTTGGAGGATATACTTCCAACTGAGAGGGGGCGCATTAGCCGTTTCGTGAAAGGTTTGCCAGCTGATTACGAAGTTGAGGTGAAAAAGGCTACTACCCTTGATGATGCGATAATGGCTGCTCATAATGTTGAAGATCAAATTATTTATAAAGAAAAAAGAACAGTAAAGGGTGTGAGAAAAAACGATCTCAAAGTGAACAAGTGAGTTCTAAAAAGAAAAACCGAATCTCTAGTGGAACATCAAAAAGTGGAGATAATCTGAAATGTAGAAAGTGTGGAAGACGTCATCGTGGCGAATGTAGGTTGGTTAGTGGAACATGCTTTAAATGTGGAGACTTTAGTCACAAAGTAGTTAATTGTAAGAAAGAAATGAAAGATTTGGAATGTTATACTTGCCATGAAAAGGGACACATCAGTACAAATTGTAACATCCCAAAAACACCGTCTGAAAATTTCGTTTAATTTAATGATAAAACCATAGTCAATAAACCTCATATAGAAATCATAAGCAATGTATCTCAAAATATTATAACAACTGTCAAATATATCAGAGTATAAACATCCATGCTGAACAAATGGTGTGTGCACTGCAATCTTCCCGAGCTCCTCTTTTGAAAACTGAGTACCTGAAACCAAAACTGAAACTGTAAGCATGAAGCTTAGTGAGCTCCCCCAAACTACCACATACCATACAATAACATATAAACACATATTGGGCCTTGCCCACTACTTCGGGACAAATCCCGGAAACTGCATTCGACCGAAGTCCGGAACTAACTGCATCAGACCGAAGTCCGGAACTAACTGGGACCTTGTCCCCTGCATCGGACCGAAGTCCAGGACTAACTGCGTCGGACTGAAGTCCGGAACTAACTGCATCAGACCGAAGTCCGGAACTGACTGGGACCTTGTCCCCTGCATCGGACCGAAGTCCGGGATTAACTGCATCGGACCGAAGTCCGGGATTAACTGCATCGGACCGAAGTCCGGAACTGACTGGGCATAGAATAGCATAGCAAAACACATATCAAATAGCATAACACACATGATCATAAACTCATATACAGCATACTACGTTAGGCCGTAGCCCATAACACTTAACACATAAATCCTGTCTGAGCCACAAAGGCATCAAACAAACTAACAACTGCATCGGACCAAAGTCCGGAAACTACTGCTACTAAACGGGCCGGCATTGTGGCCTTAGACCCGTTCCTACTGGAAGGAAACTCACCTCACACTGCTGAAGTCCCGCAGACACAATCCCACACTAATGAAGTCCCGCAGACTCAACCCCAGCTGCTGGATGACAGATTCTCGAACTGTCAACACCAAAATAACACTCAATTAATAATTGGGTTCTAACACATAACTATAAATACATTCTTTGGATAATTACTACATTACCCCTAGCTTGGCTTACCCAAGCCCAAGGCCCAATCCATAGGCCCAAGGTCAACTAGGGATCAAAGCCCAACATATGGCCCAATTTTCCAAATTGGGCCCAAACCTCTACATGGACTCCCCTTAAGGCCCAATTGTCCAATCCAGTCCAACATGTCTCATTCTAAGGGCCCAACATCATACAACCATCTATGCCCCAACTATGGCCCAATTTTCCAAATTGGGCCCAATCCTTCATACGGGCCTTACCCTAAAGCCCAACTGATTACTCTAGTCCATTTAATTATTCTTGGATGACCCAACACAAAGCCCAAGTGAAATTAGGGTTTCACATAAAATGACAATTAGGGTTAAGTTTCCTACTTAACCCATTAAGGACTTAATCCATTAAGTCCATCTCTCTACTGAATAAATCATACGATATTATAAATTTGGGCATCTAAATCCATACAACTTTATTAGTACATCTAATTCTTATCAAATTAATTACCTTTTAAATCAATGAAACCGAACTATATTCACATCTGAATTTGCAACCCATTAGATAAAACGAACGCCCATAAATTAATTAATTTTAAACCCAATTACTAATTAACAAGGCTTTACCTTATATTATATTTATCTTGAACTTAAACCAATGCCATTTAGCCCAAAATATACCAATTGAACCCATATAATATTAGCCCAACAGATTAAAGCCCAATACCTTAAAAGATCATGTCGATTAGGTCACAGTACTCCATCTCCTTGCTTGAGCTTGTTCGCCACTTGCATCTTCGGAGAGCCGGCACAACCAGCTTCAG